TTCGATGGCGCAGTGGAAAGCACGAGGATTTATCCGCCGAATGTCGGTTTCTCGCAAGCCGCGATTTATTTGCCCGGGCTAAAAGCTTAGAGACTCTCGCTGCCTATTGCACGCTGGGAATACCAACCGGTGTATTTTGTATTTGTACCCTCTCGCATTCTCATCTATCAATTCAACGACGCGTGGATGTCGCCGATCCTCAGTGATTTGCGCGTCTCGCCTTCGCGTCGGAGAAGCGTTTGTCTCGCCAAAACGCAGTGTGTTAGAGGAGACATTTTTTTCAAGCCAGAACGTTTTAAGGAAACTACTTTTTCAATGATGTAAAAATCTCTGAAGTCACCAGATGATAATTAAAAATGGTAGTAATTTAATCAATCAACTCTGGCTATTTAATAATCTTTATTTAATAGCCAGAATTGGTTGATTAAATTACTACCAATTCTACTTTTTCAAATTTGCTGAAAAACAAGGCTAAAAATGGAGGTTAAAAAATTAGAGACAAAAAAAGATTTTCCCTATAAGAGCGTAAACTATATGTATATCCTGTAGCTACGGACAAAAGTCTTTTTTAGGGACGATTTTTTCGCGCCTCGTTGAGCGTGTAAAGGTCGGCAGGTGTATTTCTTCATGCATTGACAGACGGACACGTACGAACATATATACATAGTATAGGTTGTAGAAAAGAAATCCCGGATAATCTCCGAATTCGAGATTCGGACGCCTCTCGGTTCCTTACAGGACAGACTCCCGATCGCCGACACAAGGCACATTCATACTGCAAGGGTCCGTCTCAATTCCTCCGCGAAATTAAGCCTATTTCCACCGGAAGCCTGCTTTACAGACTAGTACATCTCTCTCGTTTATTTGATTTTTTTTGCCGTATGTCATCTCTAAATTCGATCGTTTTAAATACATATTTTTTTTTTTGCATAAAATATTTATGTTTAATCATATCGTCTACTTTTTCAATGTCTTTCTTCCATCGTAATATCGACCAATTAAACGATCAGCTATACAAAACACACCAACAAAACTGTCACTCCCTTCCGATGCATCGATTCGCTCTTATTTAGCCGCAGGATGATCTCGGCACAATTTAACGAACAATCGTATAGAGCGGGACCCTTTTGTAGGTGCAAATTCGCATGTAAGTAGGTGGCGAGACGGATTCTGGCCCCGGAACGCTTTTAAAGGGCTTACCGCGAGCATTAGCCGGGCATTAGCTCTCCTCACTCTCTCTTTGACCCCTGTTCAGTTTTGTTCCATCGTCTAGTACCTACATGCCGCCAATGTTCTGGGATTTGTCGCGCTTCGCTGTTATTAATTATTTGCGGCTGGCTCGATCAGAACGCGAACTCGAGATATTTGTAGGCCATAAACCGATTCGTTCCTACGACACCCAGATAAGTAAGTATCGAATAAATTGTCAAGTTTGCATTTTACTTACTTTTTGGAAAATAGTTTTTACAAATTTATTTTATTTTACTATGTCATGATTTATTAAAAGAAAAAAAAATATATATATATATTGTACATATATTTTCTAAAAATCTGCTACATAAAATGTGATTAAAATATATTATATAAAAATTCACAGATATTAAAATTTAAAAATTTGAAATGTTATATAATTTGTCGATTCTTGAAAAATATATAATTAATTCTCTCTCCGCAATTTTTTCTCTTTATATAGTTTTTTAATTTAATTTCATTAAATTAAATTTAATGTTAAACAATATAAAATTTATTCTAATAAATTGCGTGTAGCAATTTTCAACATTTACACTTACGTATAAAACAGAGAATAATTTTCTCGCAAGACAAATAGCATGAAAACATCAAAACTACATTTTTGCTCCAATCTACAAATTTAAAGCAATAAAATTAAATAAAAAAAAAACCCCATTGAAAAAAATTGCGGAGAGAAAATTACTTTCATATTTCTTGAAAAATCCAGCTCTTCGACAAATATTTCATTACGCGTTAACATCTTTAGTCGGGCGAGAGTAATATTGAATAGGGACTTGCTGTCTCGGAGAACCGCAGGCATCACTCTAATCGGGAGAAATTATCGCCTGTCACACGGCGCGCTATCTTTCTCTCGCGCAGTCGAGATTTACACTCGGGGCGTTATTCAGCGAAGAACCCGAGGGGTGAAGGACCCTCTGCCCCCGGTCTGAACGATCGGGAACCCCTCGAGCGACCTCGAGGGTGGCTCGTCTCTCTCTCTCTCTCTCGGCCCCTCCCGAAACAAAACATATTGTCCGAATTTAATTGTGGACGGGGTGCATTAGATATTCATACGCTGCGTGTTCGGCGACGCGTGCGACGATTCTAGCACGTGCATGTCGCGTCCTGGTCGCGTCGAGGGAATAAATCTCCTTCGGGATAAACACCTCGCGCCCTTCGTGTCTTCCCGGAGCAGCATTTTAGATTATTCAGCTCGGGAAGCGACGAAAGAGGCATTCGAAACTAATTATTTCTCGCGAATTAAATTCATCATTTCGAAAATAATTAACAGTTATTTTATATTCGCAATATTAGAAATGTTCGAAATAACCGAGACGTTATATATATTAAATTTGATTAATTTATTACATTAATTCGATCTAAATACAAATAGCGTGCACAGATTGTCGAAATAAATTATTGTTATCAATCAATGTAGTTATTCTACGAACGACGTAGATGGAAGGAAAGCATAGGGTTGGCAAATCGACCACATTAGTGACGAAGCGATATCCAAACGCGATCATCCCCTTCGACCAAGTACCCTTATTGGCACTTGGGAATAAACAAGAGACGATCAATGGGCCGTAAAGGATGAAATCGAGTGTCCACATGGAAAATATAGCTCCATAAATATGCTCGCAATCGACGTCACTTTGCAATGTCGTTATTATCCCTTTCTGCCATTTCGCAGAACGATCAATTCGGAATTGCGTTCTTTATATCCTTAAATAACAAATCGCACTGATGGTATATGCTTACTCAATTACAACGTAACACATTTCGTGTAATACATACTTCAAGTTTATAATGTCATTTAAAAGAATCACATTTAAATAAAATATTTCTTATTGAAAGTATTACTGGTCAACATTTTTCGATTCATTTTATGTTACAAAAGGAATGACAGATGATTTCGATAGGATTTTTCCCGTAGATTGCGAATCTGAAACGAAAAATGTTCCATCGCGTCAACAAGACTGATTTTGAACTTGGTATTTAAATTTAGAATAAAAAATTTAAAATGACGGGGCAAAAAATGCTAAAAACGGGTTTTTTTGACACTTAACTCTTTGAGTTTTTCTTAAAAATGTGGCATGATGTTTTCGTTTCAGATTCGTAATCTACGGGAAAAAACCCATCGAAATCACCTGTCGAAATTCCTTTTGTGACACAAAATTGTGTTATAAACTTTATATTTATTTCAACTATCTACGCATATGTTTGAAAGTAAAAATTTTCTTGGAGTCTCTATGGAAATTTAACATTTTATACCTTATTGATGTCTCGAAAATGTATATCTGTAATTGCAATTTCTGCAGAACTTGATTAATTTTGATAATACATTAAACTTTTTCTTCTTTAGCTGAAATAATTTGAATATTAGCTGAATATTTCATTCGAAACAACATAATTAAATACTATACATCGCAAACGACAATCAAGTTCATCATATTGGAAACAGGAAAGATTATTTGCCCAATAATTTCTCGATATGTCTTTTGACGCATCTCACCCTCATTGTACGAATCGTCGCAGTTAAGTTACTAGAAGGAAGCACCCGTGACCCATTCCAGTTTAGCTTTCAACCTTTTCCACTTCAATTACTGCCACAGTCGAAGCACGACGCCATTGCCGAGCGCGGAGTGCTTGCAAAGGGTTAACTCGCTACGAAGAAAGCACCTCGCAAAAATTTCCTCAGCGGAGTCCCGCAAAAAAAAGAGCAAAACCGCGAGAGCTACCATTTTGTTGCGTTGTGAAACGAACACAATGTCCTACCAGAATAAATGCGGATACAGAATTGACGAAGGAGAGAGCGAGAGAATATAGAATAAAGGAAGGGGAAATATACGGGGAAGGAAAGCATGGTAGAGCGGTTCGTATCGAAAGGGGGAAGTCGCTTTCTTATTTCCATTCTTAGCCAGCGTTCTCTCGAATTCAAGTCTTGATACCAGCACCCACCATTCCACCTTCGTCCCACCTTCTTCATGATCCTCCCTGTCTCCCACTCTTCATCTGGGCTGGGTTCGTCTGTGAAAGTAGGGGGTAACAGAACAGTTACAGAGCTCTTCTCTCTCCCTCTCTCTTATTCTCTCTTCCCATTCTATCGACTCCTACTCTCGGTTCGATCTAAATTTAAATTCAAATTGTAACTTGGGCGCAGAGGAATCCTTTTTGTAAATTAATAGAGGATACGAGTAAGTTTCAAATTGAACCTCATATGTAAAAATACCGGAGTAAAGTAGAGTCAATGATGAAAAATTATCGATTCTCATGACAATGTTATGATTATATAATCCCACATTATCTTCGGTCTACGCAATTTCCTCCGTTTCCTCAACTTCTTGACTCTTCCCAATTAGACAAATCCCGAAGACGTTAACCGCTAAAACGAGTAAATGATTTCCATACACTTGGTCCATGATTGTCGAACGATGACAATCGAAGGGCTATTTTTGCGTTCAAGAAAAATCTCTTGTTTTGTGCTCATGATTTCGTCGTAGGCCCACATCGAGAAAGGTTGCACAGTGCACAAGCAAAGAGAAAAGTCGAGGAACAGTCCGGACTTGTACACGTATGTAACCGACCTTTACTGGCCTTTATCGACAATTTGCTTGCAAGAGGCCAATCAGAATACCGAACCGCTTCCACACGCCTCCCGAATTGTACCATTGGTGTTCTGTTTCCATAGCTACCATAGAAGTGGGGGTAAGAGAGGGGAATGGGGGAGATGTTGACTCACCAGTTCCCGCCGCATGAAGACATTTCGAAACTTGACGTCCGCGAGATAAGACCGCGTCAGTGCCAGTCTCCGAATTCGGCGCGATTATCAGAGAAATCCAGAATCGGTAACAAAAACGCGTTTCGAGTTTAAATATCAACGAGATGAAATCGAGTATCAGTATCGTGTCGCATGGCGATCATGTACAAGAGAACTGACAGAAGAACTGAGAACCCGGTGTAACATGACAGTGAACCAAAAACCTTGATCTGGTTATGTGCATGGACAATAAAACAGTGCAGTGACCCTTTCCTTTAAGTATTGTCGCATATTCCTTGTGATAAAGTTAAGCTTCGCGAGACGAAAGTCTCAATCACGGCAGCAAAATTGAGCTGGATTTGCACCATCAACGGGCCACCGCCGGCCACTTTATGAGGTGAGTTCATTAGGAAAATGAGATAAAAATAAGGATACGATCGAAATCGGAAAAGCGTTTAAGAAATATTGGAAATTTATACTCTGGTCTCTTATAATGATCTAAACATCTTCATGGTCAACATTCTTGGACAAACATGCTTGGACATTTTGACAAATTGAGAAAAAAGAAGAACACTGTCGAGATCGGAAAAGGGTTTGGGAAATATTGGAAATTCATACCTTGGTCTCTTATAAGGGTCTAAACATATCTTCAACATATCTTCAAACATTCTTAAACAAACATCTTTGGACATTTTGACAAATTGATGACTTCTTAGAAAGAAGAACTCGTTAAAAAAACTTGTGAAACTTTATGGGAGAAAACCTTTTTCTGAAAATAATATGCCTAAATGTGTTAACCAATTATCTTAAACACATAAAATAGAACAACTCTCTACAGAGAATGAATTTATCATTATATCTCGAATACAAAAGTTGTGATAAGAATTTAATCTGTGAATAGTGAAAACTATCGTGTTACATATACAGGGTGTCTGACATAAGGTGTCACACCGAAAATATACAAGTAGATGTTATTTGGAGACAATTTTTCCTCGATAAAAATCTTGAGACGTCAATCATTTTCAAGTTATAAGCGATTGAAAATAAAGGGTTTTTCGCAAACTCAGGCTTGTGGAAATAAAGTATTAATAAAATCACATTCTCCAATTAATTTCAAGTAGAGTTTAGTTTAATAAAATTTTAATATAAGATTTAGTTATAAAGATACATGATGGCAAAAATTAAGAACATGCAAAAAATGATGACCTCCTTCAACATTTTTGTTGAGGAAAAATCGTCTTCAAATGACAAGATCTACTTGTATATTATCGGTGTGACACTTTATATCAGACACCCTGTATAAAAAAATGTGAGTGTTTAATTTACATCATTAAGGACTAGTTGTTCCAACTCTTGGTAAGTTTTACCCAACAAGTAGCATATATTCGTCTCTTTGTTTAGAATTTATCTAAACAAAAGAAAAATATGCTACCTGTCGATGAAACTTATCGACTTCTTCAACTTCTTGATAAGTTTTATCCGACAGGTAGCATATTTTTGTCTCTTTTCAGATAAATTCTAAAAAAAAGAGAAGCTACCAGCCCTAAGTAATTTTAACGTCATAAAAATTAACGTGTAACTTACGAACTAAAATCTTAATAAAATCGTACAAAACGTTTAAAGAAACACTAATTTAATAAGAACGATTTAAATAAAAATATTAATAGAAATATTCAATATGTTAAACTTGATTAATAAAAAAAAATGATAAACATCTATCATAATTGACTTACTTTTAGTATTTTTAAAAATATAAAAATTCTATATTAAACATTAATACCGTAAAATATAATTTAAAAATTTTATGCAAAATAACTATCTCTAAATGATATCTCTAATTTAACAATGACAATATAAAAAAATTATTCAAGTATTCAAAGTGTAATTTTTAAGAATCTTTCACGTTTAGAATGTTTCCTGTGTTTTAGAATTGAAAATGTTATATCGTTAGCTGTTTGTGTGTGTGAGTAATGTGAATAAGATAAAATATTCATCAATTTTCATTAATCAATTACCTTTAATTAAATCTACCATTTATCTATGAAAATAAATTTGAAAATACAAATAACAGTGCGTATGATATATAGTAAGAAACTTTGCTGTCAAATGAGAACTAATTGCTTAAATTCAAGAATTATAAATTAATTCTTAGAAAACATGATTTGCAAGATAAGTATATCTTGTAATTAATAATCAACAGAAAAAGTTTGATTAAATAACGAATAATAATCTTTCTACGAATACTAAACTTGCCTTTCGATTTTTAACTTTCAAAATATAATAAGATACTCATGCCTAGCCATACATAATTATATCAGATTTACGAACATTTTTAAACGTGAACGGAACATGTCTACATCGAAGATTGTGTGTCAAAAATATTGCTTGTGGAACGACAAACATTCGATCGTTTATACATCATATGTGTGTGTGTGTGTGTGTGTGTGTGTGTGCAATATGTTTTCCACAAATAAACCTATTATCAAAATAGGCAATAAATTGAGGTTTGGTGTCCCTCCCCTACTTTCGGTGACCCGTACCTAAACATTCAATTAGCACTTCCTAATCCCCCGTCGCTTGGGTTGTCAACAGCCATTACTTCCAGCATCTTCTCGGTCGCAATGAGCTATTCCCGAGAGAAGGACGGGGAAAGAAAGGAAGAAAGAGAGAGAGAGAGAAAGGGAGGAGTATTCTCGGAGAGCACCCCAAACACCACGATGATGACGGGGTGGCTGTTCCAGCCCTTGCAACTTCGTCTAACCGACGTATCTATTAATCCGTCCTGAATGACACTCGAGGGTGGCATTCGCTCTCTCGTTGTTCACCTCCTCCTCCGCACATGGGGTGTGTGATCCCTAGCCTTACAAAATCGTAACTACCACTGCCCTTCTCGCTATGGACCCTACTCCGACCACTACAAGATTTTTTTAACGAACGCTCAAGTAGATTCAACACGATAATTGTATTAGTTCTGGAGAAACTAGAACTTTGTGTGTGTGTCGGAAGGAAAAAGACAAACAGAGAAAGAAATTGAGGGAGGAAAGTGAGTCGTTTGGCGCACCCTTTGCCTCGGGGGTGACGTTTAGAGTGAAAGATGAAGAACGAGAGAACGAGCGCACGGAACGTGCCGAGATTGCTTAATGGCTTTGATACGAAGAAAAGGATAAGATTAATTTGCTTATGAATTGAGAAGCAAACGAATAAGCAATTATGTACCGCCTCTGCTATGAGAAGAGGACCCACACCGCTTTGCTCGACCCCCCACGAAGCCTTTACAATGATACAGTTGCAGTTCACCGATCGAAGATCGTTAGATTTCATAATTGCGCAAAAAAGAGAAAGGAAGAAAGTTAAAAAATGAGGTGTGTGCATGTGTACGTGTGTTGTTTGTTGATATGATAATTACTGTAAAAAGATATAATGTGTAAGTGTCTGTTAAAAGAGTGTATGTGTAAGTTAAAAAATGAGGTGTGTGCATGTGTACGTGTGTTGTTTGTTGATATGATAATTACTGGAAAAAGATATAGTGTGTAAGTGTCTGCTACTTAAAGTATTAGAATTTTAAAAAGACAGAAATTAAATCACTAAGACTATCTATTCTGATTTGTATTAATATCTGATATTAGATACAGAAATGTTCTATAATAAAATTATCAGAAGCACAAGGTTGAAAATTGGTTCTTGGCTGTAAAATTGGTATACAAATGTTCTTAGGAATTTAATTTCTGTCTAATTCGCAACTAACACATCAACTAATTTCTATCTATAAAACACGTTAACGCGTTAGATAAATTCCAATAAAATTCTAATAAAAATGTTAAAAATGTTAAAAAAGAAAAATTACATTTATGTCAGCGACAACCTGTCATTTTCTCGCTTAACCAAGTATCCTTAAGCCCCCGGGGATTAATGCGCGATCCCTAGATTGACCGGACTAACAAGGGTCGCTAATTGGTAGCTGTCTTTAATTACAGGCCCGGCGGTAACATGTGCGACGGCTCCTTCACGGAGACCCTGCGTAGTATGCAGGGCATAACGGGAGCATCGCCACCGGGTAGCGCCGGTGTCGGTCCCATGGGGGTCGGTCTCAACAGCCCACTAGGCCCGGGTGGCAAGAAGGTGCCGGTGGAACACATCAAACGTCCCATGAACGCCTTCATGGTCTGGTCGCGGCTACAGCGACGAAAGATTGCTCAAGAAAATCCCAAGATGCACAACAGCGAAATCTCTAAACGACTTGGCAAGTGCATTTTTTTTTAAGAATCTTCTAAATTTCTTAAAGTGGAATCTCAGTCAAAACAATAGAATTTCACTCCAAAAGAGTGAAACTGCTCTAAGAAATTTAGAGAGAAATATCTTAATACTTTCCTTAAATGCCTGTAAGGCCAAGCGCTCGAATATATCGAAGCGTTGAAGCCTCTTTTTCGGTAATGCTGATATTGGATGCTAGCGTGTTGCGATATATTCGTGATTAGAGTAGCTGTGTAGCGTTCTCGTAAGGTAAAAATGATTCTATTATGTACATAATTTGAATTTTCGATGAATTAAAATTATGTACATAATATAAATTTGAAAATTAAAGTTATGTACATAATTGAAAGCATACATTTATTGTAATCTAGTAATCGATAAATAAGTCATACTTTTCATAGATTAATCTATATTTTTTTAGATTTTAAAGCTCAAACTTCTTAAATTTCTAGATCAAGTGCTATCAATTTAAAAACTAAAAGAGATTTCATATTATCTTCCAAACTAAATTATGAGCAACCGTCGCAACGCAGCCAACATATTAATGGCTTTACTCAATGTTAGTATAACAAAAAGCAATGTGTATTTCCACAAAATTTGCAGTGTGTCAGTCTTCAATCGATCAAACGAAATATTCTAACTATACAAGTCGTACCGAAATAATAATAATAATAATAATAATAACGAGTGATTAATAAAGCAGCTAATAATAATAATAGGAACATCTACAAAAGTAATAATCGTATAATTCGAATAAACGAGATCATCATTTTTTCGTGATATATATATATATATATATATATATATATATTTAAAATAAAAAAAAATATATATATTTTTTTTTTTTAAGATTTTGCGCACATGTTCGCATGACTTAGCGTCGACGGAGATATTCCGTTTAGTATTTCTGTTAAATACCTCACAGTCGAGACCAACAAAGGATCTTCCGCAACTCCCTCGAGCTTCTTTATCCGTCATTTTCTCCTCGCCTCGCACCCTCCAACCCCTATTTTTCGTTTCCCCGGCGACGACGAATAAGGGAAGCGTCTCCTCCTCCTCCACCACCTCCTTCTCGATAAAAATGATGCGCACGCTCGAACCTTCGATGTACCACCCCCTTTCTATTTTCCATCTTCTTACCCTCCCCAGCTCATCTTTATTCTCCCATGCTTCTTCCTCCGCGTTTCCTCTTTTGTCGTCGCGACACTTTTCCGTCGCTCTTTCGCCGCCGAACATATTTTTGGATGATACACTACGTTGCAACACTCGCGGATTTTGTCCCTTTTCTCGCTACCGCGAAACTCCTACGTATAATGTATAAGGCGACACGAAATATCCCATACTCTCAATACGGTGATCGGAATTTAGCGCATGGAATGTCACGTTTCGGTTTCTTTTTTCGCAACCACAAAAGTATTCGGAAGAATGTCGTCTTATTTCTCGATTGGTTACATGAATGCTTGGGCTCGCTGTATAAAAATTCTAAAAAGGTAGCCAGAAAAGGATTTCGATATAACAACAAGGAAGATCAACAAGGAAGATGCAACAAAAAAGATTTAGAAGATTCTTATAAAATTTTTTAATTGTCGAATATCGGACTATTTCGGAAACAATAATTCCTCGAAAGTTCTGTAGATATCAACTTTTTAGTGTTTTCAATAACTATTTTATTTCTAGATTAATAAGACTGCAAACTTTTCAAGTCCTAAAGTTTTAATTCTTCAAACTTTGATTGGCACTTAAATTTTGACGTTAATATTGCTCCGCTTAATTGTTTTAAAATAAAAATAAAAATTCAATCGAAGGTGTTTTTGAACAGGAGAATAAATATTTTGCGCTGTCGGGCTAAAATAATTCCGGTCCAAAAGTGTGATAAAGCAGCCTCGAGTTTTATTGCATCAATTAGTAGATGGCGATGCGCACGTTTATCTTCGGGGCCGACAATTTGCCACGTTTCACGATGCTCGGAGAACGCTTAAGGGTGTGGAATCCTGAAGGGAATAATCGCGGCGCAAGAGACGGCGAGAAAGGGGGTTCTTTAAAGTGAGTGCTCTGTCGGGAGACGCTTAGAGCTAATCTAGTTATTGGACCTCGCTGTAACGTTCCTGTTGTGCAACTTGCTCGTCCGAACCTTGTCCCTTTCCCTTTCGTCTTCGAGATTCGAACCACTCGAACGAATGGCTTAAACGTTTCGAGGTTGATGGCAATTTCGATTGAGATAGAAAGATCAAGATAGAAAAATAATATAGAAGATTAAATATGAGACGGATAATAATCCTTAAGGTTCGCCAGTAATAATTAAGAAAAATCTTTCCTCAATGGGAAAGTTTGGTCGACTTTTACCATTGAGGAAAGATTTTTATTAAATATGAGATTCATATACAGAAGGTGGATAAAATAATGTGAACACCGATTGAAAAAATATTTGTTTATTAATAAAATGTTATTGATAAGCTATATTAAGATATTTAAATATTTTCCTAGACTAGAACAATTAAGTATCATCGAACCACTATGGACAGTGTTGGAGAAGAGTATGAAAAATGGATTTCCTCTTTGAACATCTCTGAAGGAATTGGCAGATGTTTCTATAGAAGAATAGAACAACATTCCACTGGAGATTATTCAAAGCCATCGGACTCTAGGCGATTTTGGAAAAGAGTGAGAAGCAGATTTCCTCCTTCTCTGAAGCAATTAGCAGATGAAAGAATGAAACAAGATTTCACTGGAGAAAAGACAAATGGTGGCTCAACATCTTATTAATAAACAAGTAAATACAAATATTTTTTTTTCACAAATGTTCACACATTATTGCAATTCTTATATATATATATATAGGTCCTATTTGTGAAAATAAAAATAAAATAATAATTTTATTTTTATTTTCACAAATTATTTTATTTTTATTTTCACAAATTACTTGATAAGGACTCAAAGAAGGGTCGAAACGTTGTGATTTAATAAATAATATTTGCCAGTACGGTCGAGAGAAGAGTCTTACTTTTTTTTTTAAATTCTGTCTGACGATTCTCAAATATCTACGTTTTTATTAATAAATAATATTAATGGCACTACTAATGATACTGAGAATTTTATAAAAAAATGATTGAGAAAATTAATTTTAATGGTCTGGCCACAAGGATTGCGATGAGATTTTACTTCATAATATCTCTCCCTCTCTTAAAGCCACCTCCGACACAATGTTGCGCCGTAAAAACACACGTACGAGATGCAAACACCCTCGAGAGAGAAGTTAACAAAGAGAACGAGACGAGAGAGGAATAGAGGGTGTATAAACACATGAAGAGAGAGAGAGAGAGAGAGAGAGAGAGAGAGAGAGAATGACAGGGAGGACGGGATTCGAAGAAAAGGAGACTCGGGAGAAGCTTTCATCGTAATGAAGTATTTCTGCCAAAGCCTTGAAGAGGAAGGGCATCAACTTCTTTCGAGCGCGTTAAAAGAACGACTTATCGGTCCTGCGATCCTCTCGGAAACAGATGCCCATCTTACGATCCTAAAAGACTATCCAGTTTAAACAACCAACACTGGATTCGCGAAACTATCCATAAGAGGAAAAAGGAGATCAGACAAGTTATATGATAACTATGTCAACTTGAATAAAGCATTTCGCAAAATGAAACAAAGAAATATACGACCAGGCTGTGAAGTACAAGAAAAGTCTGTAATGTGACCAAAACTAGAGAGAGAATTATTTGATTTAGATCAACCGAATCGCCTGTTCAACCGAAACAGCATTGCTCGAAATTAATTTCTAACATAAAAAAGAAATAACGAGAGGCAATTTATTTTTTTTTATCTTGTAATTTTAGTTAACGTCAACGTGTAATGAAAAAGTTAAGTGTATCATTCATGTAATTGGGGAGCTGTACGTATATTTTTTGAAAATTGATAGAGATGCAAAGATCCTCAGAACAATAATAATATTTAAACATGACTTTTCGATCACGGCTACACGGAGAGAATTTTCTCTTAAAATTTACCCTGAAAATCATGGTAATCGTGCGACAAAATATGGTACTGGAAGAATCTTATAAGAATTTCTCCGATTAATATTTACCACAAAAAAAATATTAATACGTACCTAATAATATTTTTATTGTGGTAAATATTAATCAGAAATACTCTTACAAGATTCTTTCAGTACCATTATTTTTCAGGATGAATTCTAAGAGAAAATTCTCTCTGTGTATAGACGCAAATATTAATGTCGAAAAAATATTAGCGTCAATTTCCCCGAAATCTTTCGCGAAAGTGAATCTGAACCGTCGGCTCGCGGGAAAATAATTCCGACACTTACCTATATAGAATCGTGAGAACAATCACGCTTATTGCGACAAAGACGATGTATATGTATATACATATAACGTTCAGGTACACGTATCTTTGCGTCTTTTCCCTCCTCTCTCACGATCGTGATTAAAAATGATCGTCCCCGAGCTTAAAGCTCCCTTAAAAGCTTTCCGTCACTATTTTGAACGGCCCACCGGTCGCTCTTTGTGTCACAAAGACCGGGATTCTCTACTCTACTCCGAGACTTATGAGCAAAATCTGTTTTTCCTCGAATGAATTTCGCGACAAGCTTCCGCGCGAAAAGGATTGAGAAAGATTAAGAGGACGGGCAGGAATGAAGTCTTTGTGCAGTTTTGTTTACTTAAAATTTCAAGACACTAATAATCTTTGAATTACAAGCGATTAAGTATGAAGAACGGGTTTCAGGGGTTGATCCAAGTTTCTAAAAAATATATAATCGATAATAAATGAATGCAAAATTAGCAGATTTCAAATACTGCTTGTTTTCAGAATTTAATTAAATATTTCACCAGATTTTTTTTTTTAATTAACGTTAAGTCCATCGCAACATCTGTCGTTAAGATTGATAAAATGTGAAATTAAAATAATATCTATTCTAAAACAATGTGATTAAAATAACACAAGACACTTTGACATTATGTTCGATATAATGAAGAG